CCCCAAAACCCCAAAACCCCAAAACCCCTACTCTATCCAAGATTGTCGAATCTTATTAAATTTATCTAAAAATCATGGAAAAAGAGAAGCAAAGAGAACTTGAAGAGGTCAATAAATTTATACAAAGCTTAGGAATTCCCTTCTACAAGTAAGTCTTATAATATATTATCAGTGGTCTATCTGCTTTTTATTGGCACATTACGAGTCTTCTAGACAAGAGTTAGCTACAGGAGGTCTAGACAACCCATGAGGCACCGTCGCCAAATTCCAGAACAAAATCAAGCAGAAGGTAAATGGGCCCACTTAAAATTTTAGATGTTCAGAAACTTCGCGATCATCAATGCCTTTAAAAGAGGAGTGGGTTGGGATCCTCATGTTTAGATCAGCATCAAAAAGAACCAGAAAAATGGAGAATCTACAGTGTAGGACTTCCTTGTCTTATAATCAGCTCAACATGAGAGAGTGAGGACAAGATTCTTGGAGAAGATAAGCTAGAAACAGACTTAAATTTTGAAAAATCTGAGTATGAAAACATTGAATATGTTTACTTCAGTACTTCTCCTATTTAACTTTCTAGAGAATGGGATCACTGGCATCACAATTGAGTGAGGAATACCACAACTATTAGTGGTAGTCTCAAAGAATATGGTCTCTAGTATGAATTAGTAGGCCAACCTCTATTTTTCACTAAAATTTTATAGCGAAGATGTTAAGGCCAATATGGAAGAAGTAGCCAATTTCTTCAGCGATTTCATAAGCTTTGATGATATCATTTCCAAACTAGAGAAGGTTCAGGAGCATGTAGTGGCATTTATAGCCATCCTTCAAGCATCTGGAGACAAATACTCACTGAAGAAAGGTATGCACAAATAACTTAACTTTTAGTGAACTTCCAAGATCTTGCTGATGCTGTTAAGCCAGAGCCAAGTGACCTAGAAATTGAAATAGACTCTAAAGAAGTACATTGCATCTATAAATCTATAGGAATTCCCTTACCCAGATCCCTTCAACCCGATATGCATATTTACCCAGGTCAAGCTAAATGAGTAAGCCTGTTTGTACCTAAGTTTAGCGGAAATACTTACGTAATGGTCAGAGAAAGCTCACAAGAAAGTATTCTCAATACCATTATTTCTAGTCAGAATATATGCTCTCATCCTGGAAGATTTTAGCCAAAGAACAGGCTCCTTCTTCGATCACTGCACAGAGATCAACGAGAAGTGCTTCGAAGGGGTTATAATAACAAGGTAAACTATCTCTAGATCCTGAGCCTAACCCATCCATAGCTTCAGGGATATTTCTACTCAAATCCTTCAGACTCTCGAATCAAGAGTAAGTACTTCTCAAAATTTACAAACTTCAATAAAGTGAAAATAGGAGTTTCCTGGAGAAATAACGCAACTAAATTCTGATTTATAGGTTGAAAGCACTGGCTCTTCAAAGATAGTAAAAAGTTAGTAATATTTGTATAGCTCAAAGGGATCATTTCTATCATTAAACCCGGAATTATGAAAGTAATTCAATAAATTTTAGTATGAATGGGGTTTTGGGGTTTTGGGGTTTTGGGG